AAATCATTGTTGGTTTTATCTGTGAATTTGTATAGACTCTATATTGGAAGGTAGTAGTAAAATGTGTATATGATTATAGTGTAGGACAGGAGTGTCAAACTCGCGATGACAAGTTGTTGTCTCAAGACATATCACAACTTTTTCCCCCTTCGCTAAACCAGGGATGGGAGTGGCCAGCATGTGATGCATCCTGTCCACGAGCCGTGAGTTTAACACCCCTGGTATAGGACAATCCACTTTTTCCAAATAATAATAGTGTACATGTTGAAATATCTTTCTGGGCTCACACATGTAGCTTGTCCATTCTTTCTTGCAGATATGATTTATACCTCAGATGTAAAGCTCTAGATATAAAGGCAAAATACTTTAGATGTAAAGAGGAAGAAAACCTAATTGCTTTCTGCACAATTACAGTAAGAACCGCATCTACTGAACGAAAAGGAATGCAATAGAAAGAAAAAAAATTAGAAATAAAATATTACACAACCGACTTACTTTGTTCTGTTTCAAATTTTCTGACTGGGGAAAAAGCACTCAATTTTCATGCCCTCTGTCTTTTGTAGTCCTGTCTCCAAATGTGAGAACAGTCAAGCTGAAACCTTTTCTCAAAGGATTTCTGTTAGCTATGTATTAAAATAATTCCCAAAAGTTAATGTGATATGAAGAAAAGGAAAAAGAAATCACAATCTCTGTTTCCTGCGTTTCTCCAAAAGGCCTACAGAAAATCCTTGAGGGGAATTTTATATTATTGATAGAGTTAATCACAGAACTGGGAACGAAGGAAGATGATCTAGTTGTAAGTCCAGTGCAGACCATCATCTTATAGTGGGCTTGAATGGACTGTTCATTAAGATAAAGGAAAGGAACACCAAAACTAATTTCTCACCATGGAAAAATAGAAAAAAATGCAAATTCAACCATGCATTACTCATGGCTTATGCAGAAAGGGATTGTTTCCTAAAAATTCAAGAAATTAAAATTGTCCCCATTGTATTAGGAGCAACAGAAAATGAAACCTTAAAACCCCAGGCATCAGTAGACATATAGAGATAAACCGTGTCTACACACAATGAGAGTTCTTTGTTTTCCAAGGATTGGATATACCCACAGCATAGAAGTTAATTGTACAAAGTACTTTATTGTAGCACATACCTTTCCTGTTGCCCTGCGTTAATGCCACTGTTCTAGGCTATGCAAGTTGATGTAGCCATGGAAAAAAATCTCTCTGAAGAGTAGTGCTTATAACAAGTAAAAAGCATATGTCTGCCTCCCTCCAAGAGTTCCTACACTTGTTATTGATTAGGTGTTGCTCAATGTGGTTGCTCTTCCAAAACTGGTAGGGCAAGCTACTATATATAAACAGGCAGCAAACCCCACACTCACTCACACTGACAATGTTACCTAGCTGGGTAATGAAACATCTGCAGGGAAACAATCAAGCTCAGAGAGCACCAAAGACTCCATTCAAAGTAATCCCATCAGGGAGCCCAACAGCCTTAAAATAGAAGTTGAATGTTAATGTCACTGGATACATATTCAGAAAGAATATTCATACATTCACAAGCTCCAGCTCCCCCTGCTCTTTTCTAAGTTTTCCCATTCATAAACATCTCCCCGAGTTGCTGGAGGCATTGTCATTCAGTGAAGAATGTGGCTTCCTTTCTTGAAAAGAAATGTAAGGGACATGGCAGCGGTGTCTATGGGTTCTTACATTGTGAAATTTTAATATTAATAAGTCACCCAAGGTCACGTGTATGAGTTAGGCAGCCGCAGCAGTATAAACTTGTTGAGTAATAATATGTAAGAAAGTTGTAGACTATGTCCTACACCATGTAGAACAAAAACTGATTCAGCTTGTTGAAAATCATCTAGAGATTTTCTTCTCCACTGGGAAAGCCAATCCCATTTATTAATGATTGAACTGTACTTTTCACTTAGCACTATTTCAGATTTTTTTGGGGGGGGGGGGGGGGGGGTCAGTAGGCAGAAGAAGACTTGTTCTTCTACAAGGAATTCATTTAAACTATGATGCCTGAAGAAGTCATGCAGGTCTGTTTATTGATCACTCCTTTTTAATGGACTCTAAAAGCTAAAACCACAAGGAATGAATTAATTGCAAATAAAAATACGGTCAATAAAACAACATCATCAAAAGTAGGTATAGATAAGTAATCCATTGTTGTAGGTTCCAAATATAGACTAATGAATTTGTCAGCTTCAGCTACTCATTCTGCTAATCTTACAATTCTGCATTATTATTTTTTAAAACTGGGATGAAAATTCCTGTTTATTCTAATACACATATTGCTGCAGTCTGCTTTCTTAACACTACTATATTCATTATGTGATATATATTTTTTTTCTAATTGGAGAAACATATCACCAAATGTGGAGTAGAGATAATGGAAGATATGATAGTTTTGATTACATATTAGTCTAAGAATGAAAGATTAGGTAGGTTCTCATTAAAATGGAAACCAAACAAGATTCTCTCCTAATTGCCAAACAATATAAATTATTATTAGGGAGGAATCTTTCCCTGATAATTGCTTCCTGAACAATTAGCATCAGTGATAGATGTCTTAAATAGTCACAAGTAAAATTGATCTGTGAAAGATTGGGGGACTCTGGAAAAGGAAGTAAAGAGAATGCAAATGGTGGAATAGAATAATTAAAGAAAGGATGCAAAAGGAGGGACAGAATGAAATGTGAATGACAAAAAATTAAAACAGTTTTTTATTTACTTTAAATAATTAAATAGAATTATTAAATTGTCCTGCAGTGAGTTGCTCCTTGGTGAATTGGCTGCAGATTGGTTCCTTGTTTGCAAAACCTATTCTTCTTTTGGGGGGTGGAGGGGGAATGTGGGATGGGAGAGAGCTCAGAAATGTTAACATTACATTCATAGTTGACTGAAGATGTGACTTCCAGGAAGCGGATATTTCCGTTGACAAGCAAAAATAAAACCAAAAGGTATTTTCTTCATGAAAGGGGCTGCGTGGCTGCCTTCTAAATATAGTGTGCAAATTGCAATTGCTACAGGAATAAAAAAATAAGGTTTCCTTTATAAATGCCACCCCTGAAATGCCACCCCCTGAAAAGAGACCTTTGATTTTTCTGAGTACACCAATCTAGTATTAATTTAGCCAGAGCCCATTCAAAATGGGAGGCAATCAGTAGCTCTTGTTGGAACTCCGCAAATGATCTGATCTGAAAATGCCACCGGTTCTTTCACCACTCCCAAAGTGGCACTTAAAAGAGCCTTTTGTATTATATAGCTTGTGCTATTCTGTATTAGTTAGTAAAGGCAAGGACCTCGTTAACAAGGACTTTTCCCTGGGGGATGCTTGTTAAACTGACGTTTCCTTCTTGAGTTGGAAAACTTTCTATTATGGAGACTTAAACTGCTCACTGCTTCTTCCTTCCTAGTCTTTGGGTCTCCCTATTCCTCTCAGCAATTTTGGAAATCATATTTTCTAAGTCTATCATGCTGAAGCAGTACTGCCAGGGACCTGGATTGACACCCAGCAAAATAATGAAAAATAACTTATATTTCTCTTTTTTCTTTTCAAAATGATGGAAGAATTCCCAGAATCTTTCCTGAGACAAATGTATTCTTCAAAAGAGGAATATTACCTCTGGATCCTCCAGGACTTGCAGCAGATCAAGACATTGGCATCCACATGGCAACAGACACATACTGAAATATGTACACCAGTGGTGGGTTGCTCCTGGTTCGGTCCGGTTCTTGCGAACCGGTAGTAAAAGCAGCGGGAGGCTCCACCCACCTGCCTGGATGTCATCATGGATGATCTGCGCACACGCAGAACCACGCAAGAGAGAGAGAGAGAAGCGAGCGTGCTCCCATTGCGAACCAGTAGTAAAGGTAAGTAGAGCCCATCCCTGATGTACACTATACATGCTAAGTCCTCAGTCTTATGTCAAGGTCCTCAGTCTTACGATGAGATCCTCGGACTTATGACACAGCGCTCTCATTGGCTAAGACGCGCCCAGAGACGGCGGGAGAATCCTGGCATCATCATTGGCTGAGCGGTTTGACAGCTACTGTATAAATAGCTGTCAAACACCTGAGCTGCTGTTCTAGTTCTGAAGCTGTTCTGTTAACTGTTAGCATTAAACCTTTGGTTCCTCTTACACCTGTTTTGCCTCAGTTACTGCCCCCCATCGCTCTAAAGAGCACTGCAGAACACACAAATCTACCCTACAGTACATATTTTCTCCCAACAGATGACTTGGAGTCAGAGGGAATCAGACTGCAGAGACCCCACTAATAATTTCCTGAACATAATTTGCATAAATAGCAACATTGTCTAGCTTCTTTTCTGAGGTATAGTAAAGATAGGTTCTTATATTGGCATATTTTCCCCCTCCCTCAAGGATGTAATAAGCAAGACAACATGGTTATGAGGAAGAATCCTATACTAGGTTGACTGGGGATCATTTCACTTATACTTATGTTGCTTGTGAATGAATTATCCTATTTTAATTGCTTGACATATACTGCTCTGTGGTGGACACAGTTCAAGATTGTTAACGACCATTGTTACAGTAAATGTTATGTTTCCTGAAGCAATGAATTGAAATACAGGAATTGAGTGGATAGGTTATTTCCTCTATCTTGTATTTCTAAACAAGCAGTACAAGAATTCATGGCCAAAATTTCTTTGGGTGAAAAGGAATATTGGGCCTCTCATATTTAGTGATTCTAGCCATACAATAACACATTTGACAAGAGACTATGCAATGTTATTTCAAGATAATACAAATATCAAATGAAGGGTTTTAAACCTGCTATATTCTGAAATTAAGGCTTGTCGAATTCAATAGGACTTATTTCTGAACAAGAACAGCATTGTTTGTTGTGGTACAAAAGCACAGTTTAAATGGACATACTGACAGATGCAGATATTGAAAAATGCACCCTAATTTATATAACACAAATACTGAAATAGGAAAAAAAAATAGATCAAATATCTTACTTTGAAGATTTGGAATCCATTGAGACAGGAACAAAAGGTGAACTTCTAACTAGAACTTCCTGGTCCAGTTATTCCTTACTGAAAGAAACAACAACAGAAATAATTCAAAAAGCTTGAAATCTTAATTTTCACAGAGACTTAGATTAGAAATGTTTTCATCACACTGTACTTCTACAATTAGCAACTGACATAGAATGAGAAAGCCCTATCAAATTCAAACAATACATCCACTGAATATAATAAAACTTAAACTATCATGTATCTATTTGTGCTAGTACTGAAGTTCCATATACCAAGCAAACTTTCTAAAGAGGTTGAACTACATACACTATGTCAGTTTCAAGTTCTATAGTTGCCTTACAGCTCCCTAAAACCATTTAAAGTCCTGCAAAATATCTTTATTAATGTTGTAAGTGGAACACTCCAGATCTCACCACTGTGTAAGTGAAACAACTGTGATCTTAAGGAGAATTATAAGCTTTCCAAACTTGCATATCCAGTAGTTTTATATCCAGTAGTTCTATCCAAATTATATTTCCCTATCAGGAAAAGAAAACCATGCTATCACAAAGCAATTGTTCAAGAATTTTTGACCAACACTTGACCAGTTAGGATTACAGCGGTCTAAAATACACTTTATGGTGGCTGTGATAAAACAAAACATTCATAATTGCTTTTCCCTATTATGGTGGATACTGAATTCAGGAAATGTCATTTTCATTACATATATACACCATATCTCTGTGAAGTCTTCTCTTCTTCCAAATGGAAGTCCTGGTTATAATTTAATAAAGAATTGAATGCTGAGATGATGCTGTGGAAAAAATAACCAAACTAATTTCACCTCCAGTTGGTCCATTGATCTGCGGTTCATCAGAATAAATATATTTTGAAAGAATGGGTATTAATTGCCATGAAGCTCTAAATATGGAATGGCAGCTCACAGTTCATGAACTGAAGTCTTCTTTAACTTAATAATGTCCCTTGGCATACTTTTGCTCTTTGTTCAGTGCAAATGCCAGACCAATGAAAGATGAGTAGACCTAAACCAGACAGGTAGTAGGACATGTTCACAAATCTCCTTCAATATCTTTGTATGTTTGATTCCCTTAGAGCAGGGGTGTCAAACATTTCATTGATGGCCACATTAGGGTTGTGTTTGACCTCAGGGGTCAGGAGTGGGTGTGGCCAGGGTGGGTGCAGCCAGCATGTCAGTCCGGTCAGGGGGGTGCCTGTGGTGGCCCGAGCGCTCTGCTAATGAAAAAGGGCTCCTGAGCTCCATTTTCAGCTGCGACAGCCTCCTGCCATTCTCTGCCAGGGAAAACCTCAGGGAGGGCCGTGTGTGGCCCTCGCAAGCTCCATTTTTGGCTAGGATGGCCTCCTGCAACCCTCTGCTAGAGAAAACGGAGCTCAGGAGGGCTGCGCAGGCTGGTCCTTTAGGGCAGCCCCGCTGGCCAGATCTAAGCACCCCACGGGCCAGATCCAGTCTCCAGGCCTTGAGTTTGACACCCCTGCCTTAGACAGGTCTGAAGATTTATCACAAAAAAACAAAAACAAAAAAATAGATATTATTAGAGCAGATCTGTTTACACGTCTTCTGCAATAAGTAATGTGAGTAAGGCACCCCCCACACATATCAAGAATTTTGTAAGCACAAGTCAGATGATCAAATGTACACCTTCTTTCAGGTCTTTGTGTTAAAGCAGAGATGGGCCATTTGTGAACTTTACATCACTGGAAGCCCCCTAACTAATTTCTTATGCCCCTCAATTAATTTTAATTAATTCAAGCCTCTGGCAAGAGAACTCTAACATAGTCTGCTATGGGCAGAAGGAGGACAGAAGAGGAAAAATGTTAGAAAAAGTGAAGAGAAAAGAGACACGTCAGAGAGAAAATGGATGGATAAATCCATGTTTAGCTCTTTCCCCATTTCTCCTTGCTTCTGTTCCAGACACAATTAACATGCAACCATTTTACAGAAATCTCTTAAATGAATGAGGAAAAAGCAGCTCACCTCTATACTAAACAGAGGAAGCCCTATAAAGTAGATGCAGCGGTGTTGGGAATGGAATTGTGAACAGATGCACATACCTTTCTAGTTTTGGCCAATATTCGGTTATACCTCTCTCGATCAATCTGCAACTGTTTCTGAATCCTATTCTTTAAAGAACCATTGGAAGGAGGAGGAATTTTCTCATGATCTCTCCTCTTGGGTTTGATAGAAGTGTAAAGTAACAGGAAGGTTGAAAACAAGTTGGGAGATCTTTATACATTGGAAAACAGGATACCTTTGTGCATTCTCAACTGCTCTGACACTAAAGTATAGATTGGTATTATGATTCCCCAAATTCCAGGACATAAAACAATTCTCCTGACCTGAATTAGCAGCATCCTAAAATATCCTGTATAACAGGGGTGAAATGCTACCGGTTCGTACCGATTTGGGTGAACCGGTAGTAATCAAAGCTACTGGTTTGGGTGAACCGGTAGTAGAAAAATGCTACCAGTTCAGATGAACCAGTATTTCTGATGATCAGCTGTGCCGCGTGATTTATATTTGCTAGAATATAAATCCGGCTTTCTAGCGAATCTAAATTGCACGGCAGAGCTGTCATCCCCCCCTCGCTGTTCTACTTACCTTCTTAAGCTTCCTTTTTCAGTGCTGTGCGGTAACACCTGCGGTGTGCACCATGCACACACGCAGTGAACCAATAGCAAACTTTAGAGGATTTCACCACTGCTGTATAACCTATCTAACTGTGGTTTTGTTAGTACAGTGGTAGTTTCAGTGATTTTAATCTAACTTTTACATTCTGTTTTCTGACAATTCCTCTGTGCAGGTCACATATATAAATATTTTTCTCAAGGCAGTGGAACAGCTTGGGCTACAGCTTGAGAAGCAAAGGGGAGAACGAATCCCTGGGAACATTTCCCAAGATGTTATAAGGCTATATAAATCCACAGAGAACAGTCTGACTGAAGAATGTTAAGTGACCATTTCTTCAATATCTGCCTGTGACAAGACAGAAATAAACCCCTGTCCTTAATAGTGAACTTGTCATGCAATGGACAGCTTGCACTAGTTTCATTGAGCTAATTTGGGAAAATTAAATGTATTACTTTGAAATGTTTCTTTATCCCTTATTCCTAGATATAATCCTCTTAACTATGTAATTCCTTGTTAATAATGCTGATAGATCTTCTTCTCTTGTTTTTATCTGTTATCTTATCCTCCAGTCCTTGGTGGGCAATCAAAAGTGATAAGTCATAAGGGAATAAAATAAATCAGTATGTTTCCTAGTTTAACTAGAACCAAAAGTACATGCTGGTGAACTGCGAGGCTATAGAGCTAACTCTCACCTTGAGTGAGAGTTCAAATGCAAAGCGCTATCGACATCTCGGTTCTTATTTGAGAAAGTACAGTTAGTCCTCAATTTACGACCACAACTGAGTCCAAAATTTATGTTGTTAAGTGAGGCATTTTAAGTGAATTTTGCCCCATTTTGCGACCTTTCTTGCCACAAGTTGTTAAGTGAAACATTACAGTTGATAAGTTAGTAACCCGGTTGTTAAGTGAATCTGGCTTCCCCGTTGACAGGTCGTAAAAGGGGATCACATGACCTTGGGACACAGCAATGGTCATAAGTATGAACCATCTGCCAAGCATCATGGGGATGCCACAAAGGTTGTAACTTAGAAAAACAGTCATAAGTCACATTTTTCAATGCCATTGTAACTTTGAACGGTCACTAAGCAGACTGTTGTAAATCAAGGACTGTCCGTAATAGGGGGTAGAGAGAATGCAAAGGAAGCAGAAGTGGTGTGGTTTGTTGTTAAGTAGATAGTGTCAGACAAAAGTGTACTAATACTGTTGCCTAAAAGTATAGTAAATAAATTAAGACAAATGCATCATTCTCTTTTTCGGGATGTCTGGTCACAGACGAAGTACATCCCTGAATAAAAGATAGCATGACTTTATTTAAATGAGTCCTCAAAACTTGTCTGTTTCCTCAGGCTTTTTGTTACAATAGACAATGAACCTCTTGTGTTGGTGTTTTGGCTTTTTGATTGGGGTTCTTTTTCTGGACTCTTCTGTTTAAGTTTTGAACTATTGTGTGTTCTAGTATTTTTAATTCTGTAAGTTGACCAGAGAATTTGCAGTGTGAAGTGGCCAAATACCAACAGTTCTTCTACCTGGTGAACTGACCATACTACGAGTGTTAGTTTTCATTAAAGGAGATGAATAGGCGCATTAGTTCTCCATTCAGACACCTTCAACATTAGCATGGAGAATACCAGGGAAAGACTGAACGTTATAGCTTAGACAACGTTGACAATAACATTGGACCATGCTTGGGAGTCTCCTGTCACGTCAAGTCAACAAGTTGAGCTTAGTGTGAAATGTCAGTAAATAGGTAACTTCTAGCAAAATCACTGATTGTTAAAAAAAAAAGTTGTGTTCTGACCTAGGCTTCCCAAGAGCATGAAGTAGACTCCTTGTCCTGACAAAAAACCCTTTTTATTAAGTTACTGTGAATTCTTCTCATTCACATCCAGCAAAGTCTTTCACGGGAGAATTTACAGTCATAGACCTTATCTGGCTTGGAGAGCTGCCAGGCCGATATATTCAAAACTTGGCAAGGAGTCAAGAACCAATTAAGCGAACTAATTGTCTCCTGCAAACTCCACTCCCCTTTCGCTCCTCTTTTATTCTCTCTGGGAGGGGCCATTCATTGTCCACCTGTGGCCTTACTCCCAAGTCGACCCTTGTTCTTTAGCTGTTCCCTTCATCTGGCAACTCTGCGCATGCGCACACTGGGAACAGGCTCCAACTGTTCGTCTGCCTCACTGATGTCTGCCTCCAAAGGCAGCTGATAACTGGCATATGGCCCTGGCCCTCTCTCTGCCTCTGACACAGAGCCATCATCAGAGCCTTCCCCAGACTCCAGGACTAGCCCATGTTCCTCCCCAACCTCTTCACTGTCTGAATCTGCTGCCAACTCTGCTGGCTGCTGGTGGGCCACAAGAAGTTGCTGATGCTTTGCTTCAGCATCAGAACTAAATTATTCTCCAGATGG